AAGAATATAAGAACTGTGCTGGATCAGACCGAAGGCCTGCTCAGTCCCTTTGTGGCCAACGGGATGTCAGTGAGAAGTTCCCTATATGACATGCGCACAAGAACACCTTCTGGTTCATGCTCTGCAGCAACCAGTGTTTGGTACATCTTGTGCTAATTGAAGCCTTCTGGTTTGCCAACATCCGGGCTTGACTGGATTCGGGACTAATATAGTTTTAGATGCTATGGTAAGGCTCCTATGTTCAAGGACAGGGATAACCTTAGGATAACCTTCCCCAACTCTTTCCTCCACCTAATATGTTAGACTAAAACTCCCATCTCCTTCCAATTGACCATGGTAGTTTGGGATAATGGGGCTTTGTAGTCCAACACATCTGAAAGGCATCTTGAGAAAGCTCCCTTAGAACATGCCCGTGGCTATCCATGTGAGGAAAGAAGATGACTCCAATAGTCTCATCTTTAGGATAAAATGCAAAGGTTTAGTCAGAAAAACACCCTTAAAATATCTTCATTTTTCAAGATATTGGCAAGGAATATACATGATTAATGTATAAAAACAACTTTACATTTATCATCAGCCTACAAGAATGATGACTTGATAAACACGTAAGATCCAAATTGCTACTAAGATATTATTGTGTGGTTAGCACCTGTTATTACATTGTGTGTGTGTGTGTTTCAAGTGCCTAAATTACTGAAGACAATTCAAGCAGAACCATTCCCTGATTTCTCTGGAAATATCAAATTATGCTGCCAGTTTGGTGAAATTCATGAAGATTCCACCATTACATGGACTAAAGACTCTAAGCTACTTGCTCAAGTACACAGAAGGTAAGAAAAGTGTACACAAGAGGTATACTTTAATGTACTTTGTAATCTAGGGATGAGAGAAAATTTTTATTTATATTTCAGTGCTAACTTATTGAATATTTGAACCAATATTGGATTCAAGTGTAAAGTTATTTAGGTGCAGCCTTAGTGAAACTTATTGCTGCTATTTTAATAGTATTTTAATGTACTATGATTTAAGGGTATTTATTTTATATTATTTAACTGTTGTTTTGTATTTGTATTGTTAGTTGCCTGCATTCCAGAACCGAAAGAAAATTTAAAATACTGAATAAATTACTGATTTTTAATTCATATATTTATTAATCTTTCAAAAATAATTATAATTTTACAGTGGAATTCTCCAGTCCAAAAATGTAGAAAAGGTACACATAAAAATGTGTATGCAGGTGTGAAAATAACATTAAAATGTATTATGTTAAGAAAATTGCTTGCAAAAGTTGTATATTAGGCAAAATTACATATAAGAATGCATATACTAGAAGGAATATGTACCAAATTGTGTGATAATGCTCATGAGAATTGAAAAAGAATTTTGATGTCTGGAATGAACCAAATTGAAGACTAGAATAATGGAAATTTGAGGGGGGAAATGACAGATTCATTCATTCTTAATACTTCCTTCTGGAAGGGAAGTACGGAGCTTATATATTTTGCTGACCACATCTTAGATTACTTCTTGGCATGGAGAAAAAAGAAGCAGGCAGCCAATAGGATATAAATGTAAGTATTATAAAGGAATAACTAAAATTGCAGGCTGTTTAAACCGCCCAGAGAGCTTTGGCTGTGGGATGGTACAGAAATGAAATGAATAAATACAATTACATCGAGATATCAGTAAGACTGAATTAAGGTCATTCATTAATTTGTTTAAAGAAATTTATAACCTGCTTTTTAATGTAAAATAATCTTGGAACAGGATACAACCGATAAACAGAATAATATCTTACAGCATCTACCAAAACAATCATGTAACTGCAGCAAAGATAAATAACAGTTTACAAGGCACAGCAAAACAAATTCCATTAAAAGCCTGGGTGAACAACTAAGTTGTCACCAAAAACTTAAAAGACTTTGTGACAACCATGTACGAGAGGGGACAAATTTCCACAATTGGGATGTGTGTATTGCCTTCATTCGCAATACCACATATCAGGCTCCAGGGAACTGTGACATCATCAAGAGGGCCACACAGTCCTAATGTCCCAGCAGATGCACGAAGGAAAAGGCATTCCATCATGTAGCCAGATCCTAAGCCAGGTAAGGTCCCCTTCCCCATTCTCTTCGTCTGCAGCTCACCAAGTACCCATCCAACATGGCTGGCAGCCATGCAGCCTGGGTATTAGGGGAGTTGCAAGCCAACACATCTGGAAGGTGTTAGGCTGAGGAAGGCTGATGGAGGCCTTGACATGTCGGCACAAGCTCCTTGATCACGGCTCAAGGGCTTCCTGGGACCCAGTGCAGCTCCTTCAGAACTGCTGTGCTGCATTCCACTCGAGAGCCCAGCGACGGTATTTTGAACTTGCTGCAGTTGCAAGCCAGCCTCCCAGGCATCTCTGTGAAAAACCAGTGTCGTGACAAAAGCGCGGTCTTATTTCCCATTCTGTGTGCTGGGCAGGACACCCAAGAAAGAGAAGGAAAGGGGGCGTGGATGAATGCAATGCATGATCAAACATGTATCCTTAGTCAATGCAGCCACTGGGGAGAGGGCTTGATTTAATCTTGTCTCATTCCTCAATTTGAGTTGCAGGTTTTGAACATGGCTCTCCCCCACTCCCCACTCGCCCCACTTGTCTGGCTACTGTGCCAGCAGCAATACAGGAGCAGTAGTGGCATCTTCCTGTTTTCCAGCTGTGGGGTGAACAGAGGGAGGAACAAAGGGAGGAAGCAAGCAGGGTGGGGAGACAAATCGTTCTCCCTTAAAAGTCAAAAGGATACACTCCTCTGAAAAGCAGAAAGATGATGAACAGTGCAAACCTTCAAATGTTAACATCTTTTCTAGTGCAGGAGATGACTTCCCAGTGTCACTGGCGATAGTGCAAGCTGGTAAAAAAGACCAAGGATTGTATCACTGCTGTTTGAAGAATAAGTATGGAAAAGTGACTGCAGAGTTTAACTTGACCTTGGAAGGTAAAGGCTCACATTTGTGTCTCTTGGGGCTCAATCCTATTCATGTTTTAAAAGAAAACAGTCCTACAGCTCCCAGTAGCTGTCCAGCCAATCATGCTGACTGGTTTACACTGGGAATCATAGGACTTTGTTCTATGTTACCATGCATTGGATTGAGCCCATAAACACACGGCCAGTGCAGTTTTGCAATCTGGATCATGACCATATTGTTTTTCATCTCTTTGCAGTACTGGAACATCTCTCTGGTTTTCAGGAAGTTGAAGGTAAGATCATATAGGATGCTTTCTGTATCACTGTTAGAGAATTTTACTGTGACATAAACTTGTGAGAGTGTGTATTGCACAACCATCATGCTCCAGGGCTTGTTAGGGCTTAGCTCCAGAACCTGCCATAATGCCTTCCTTGGAAATGTAAAGCAGTAATGAGAAAGAGCAAATCCTTTTGAGCATCAGCCTTGACTGAGACTAAAAGAGCCCCCAGTCATCTAGCATTAACCACTCCTGGAGCCTAGTGCATGCTTTGGATTTAACTTCATTTGTGGAAAGAGAAAAATGTGCCTTGATTTCTCCACACTTCAAGGTATATGGTTGTATCTCATTTACTGGGCAAACGTTGCTGCTTTTGCACGGAGGGAAGGGAGCATCATTTCCACTGAAGCAGCAGCTGAAGTGGTTCCACTGGAACATTCTGTAGAAAGGAAGGAGCATAACAAAGAATTGTACCAATGCCAGTTTTCCCAACACTCAGACATGTGCCCTTTGCAAAGCCTTGTGCTGTGTAACAGTACCCAAAGAGAGAGGCAGATAATTAGGATATAAAATACTTCTCCCACTTGTTGGCCCTCGTTTAATTGCACTAGCGTGTGTATTGCTATGCCTATGCTAAACACAGACTACATTTTTTGGCCATCTGGTTTTACCATTACATGAGATATTGTGTTAGTCAATATTAGTTTGTTAAAATGCAATAAAGCAATGATAAAAATAATGCTAAAGCAATAATGAGATAAAAATTAATAATTAGGATAGATAACACATATACTCAATGACACCCAGTAAAATCCCGACTCAATTATCACCAAGGTATAAGTAGGTCTTTAAGATACATTTGAAGGACTCTAATGATGATTCATGGCAGACATCAACTGAAACAGTTTTACTGCTGAGGAGACCCTATTCCTTTTGTTCACCAGCCAAATTTCTTTGACAGGTGAGCACACAAGACAGGAGTTCAGATACTGGTCTGGGTTAAAGAAGTCCTTCAAGTAAGCTGGACCCAATCCATGGACGGCTCTCGTGGCCAATGATATATTTATTTTATAGGCTTGGAAGAGATTGAATTCTTACAGCTTATGTTCAAGGAAGACTTCATCTGTGACAGCTACTTGAGCAAGAGCCTGCATGGGCGGATCACGACAGAGGAGCTGCATTTTGGCGAGGGAGTGCACCGAAAGGCCTTCCGAAGCAAAGTGATGCAGGGCTTGGTCCCTGTCTTCAGCCCGGGCCACCCCTGTGTCCTGAAGGTGCACAATGCCATTGTGTATGGGACCAGGAACAATGACGAACTTGTGAAGAAGAACTACAGACTGGCCTTGCAGGTAAATTACCTGTAGCATTCCTCTGTAACCACAGGCCCATTGGGAACGAACCGGTTTTCAAGCATTAGTGCAGCTAAATACTGTGGCCACCTAACGAGAAGGAAGGACTCACTGGAGAAGACCCTGATGCTGGGAACGATTGACAGCACAAGGATGAGGTGGCTGGATGGACGGAGGCACTGAGGCAGTCGGCGTGAGCTCAGGTGGAGCTTAGGTGGACTCCGGGGGATGGCGGAGGACAGGAAGGCCTGGAGGAATGTTGTCCATGGGGTCGCGATGGGGCGGACGCGACTGAGGGACTAACATAACATAACTTGATTGACTGGATTGTTTCCTTTTTCACTGTGCTCCTGGGTTCACAGGAATGTTATGTGCAGAACACAGCAAGAGAGTACGCCAAGATATATGCAGCCGAAACCAAACCTTTAGAAGGCTTTGGGGAAGTGCCTGAGTAAGTAGACTTTTTTTTTTTTTTTTAGTGTTAGGATTGTATAATGCATGACATCTAAAATTTGCTCCATCTACATTGCTGGGTAGGAAGGGGAAATGAGTGCAGAACAGCCTCGCAGTCTCAGTCAGCTTCCTTTTTCTTCAGTGCAGTCATTTACATGTCTATGATTTTCTCCTCTTCCACTAGCAGTGGCTGGATGTCCTTTATGAAGTCAGCCTGCCTGCCAGGGCTTCAGTTATGCAAGGAAAGATAAGAGGCTCTGAACCATGCCACAAGTCTCCCTCAGTCCCCCATTTCAACCTAACAACGCTCCCATTGCCTTTTACAAACAGCAGACACATATGGTAATGGGGCAGGGTCACACTGGTCCCTTTGCAACCCAAGCACTGCTGCAGGCCAAGCAGAAGGAAGGACGCCACCCCTCCCTGAGCCCCCAAACAAACCGGTATCAGGTTTTTATTTACTGCCTGGAAAATATAACATTCAAAGGTGCACTGAAAAGATGATGATACAGTCCAGCCAAGTTACACGTTGAGGTCCCACAAGTTTCAGTTAATTGAAACAGCGTCAACTTTCCAATTGACATAAGCAGACTAGACCAAGCTTTGCATAATTTTATGTTGCACAGCATGACCTTTGATCTCCATTTTTTACCCTTCTGCAGGTTCCTTCTGAGGTAACACCTACTTATTTTTATTTATTTATTAAGACATTTTTATGCCGCCCCATTCGCCGAAGCCTCGGGGTGGCTTACAATATAATACTTATATTATCACCTACTTACATTACTGCCCTCTTTCCATTTGAGTGATATTGAACAGTACAACTCAGATAAGGGTTTGGGTTTTCAATTTTTTTATTATTTTCTATACAAACTAAAATAAACAATTATTGCCAAGGCATCAGACATACTGGATCGACACCTTATTCTACTTAAAATTAATCACCATATTCAGTTCTACATATAGTCCTAGTTCTCTAACCAATGATAAAAAAGATTCCAAGTTTGGTAGAAGTATGCATCTTCTTTCTCCTTCTAAGACAGTTTATCCATTTCTGCACAGTCCAAAATCTTTTTCAGAATCAGCTCTTTGGTCAGTGGTTCTTCACGCCTCCAAAATTGAGCAAACACAATCCTCGCCGCAGTAATTACATGTAAGATCAAATATATACTTTGTTTATCCAAAACATCAGGAATGATGCCTAGTAAAAATACTTCAGGTTTGAATATTAAAGAATTTTGTAGCATTTCCTCAAGCCATTTATGTATTTTAACCCAATATTTTTTTTGCCTTAACACAAGTCCACCACATATGATAAAATGTAGTAGGTTTTTGTCTGCATTTCCAACATCTGTTTGGCATATCTGAAAACATTTTTGCTAATCTATTTGGCAACAAATACCATCCATAAAACATTTTATAAAGTTTTTTTATATGAAGTTGCTAAAGTTATCTTAATATTTCTTTCCTACAGCTTTTGCCATTTCTGTAGCTCAATATTATATCCAAAATTTTGTGCCCATGTTATCATAGTTTCCTTAACTTGCTCATCTTTCATTTTCATATCCAAGAGAAAATTGTGAGAAGGGTCGTTTGCCCCATCACAGTATCCCAATGAGAAGCAGGTTCTCTGGGTGACTTTCCCTGTACCAGCATAAATTCTGGTGTGGCTTGTAGTTTCGCCCAAGATATTTTTCTTGACAGCAGTGGATGTTTTGCTGGTGTCTATCCCTGCCATGGGAACCCTGCATAAAGTTCAGGAGGCCAGTGAGTAGCCAAAGGCCCCACTATAACTAAAGTCATAATGGGCCTAAGTATTGTAACATATTATTTTTCCTGGGCCACCCCTCCCTTTCTTCTTCAATTTTTTCATCAATGACATGGAAGAAGCGGTGAACAGTCTGCTGATCTGATCAAATTTGCAGACGATACTAAAACAGGGGCAGTGACCACAACTGAGGAGCAGGTACTCCAGATCCAGAAGGATCTGGACAGAGTATGGAAGTGGGCAAGGAACAACTGGATGGCGTTCGATGTGGATAAGTGCAAGGTCTTGCACTTGGGGCGTAGGAATGGGTGTCATAAATACAGGTTAGGGGACAAGTGGCTGGAGAGCAGCACTTATGAAAGGGTGCTCAGGATACTGGTTGACTGCAGGCTAAACATGAGTCAGCAGTATGACATGGCAGTCAAGAGGGTGAATGCCACCCTTGGTTGCATAGCATAATACCTCTCTAGATCAAGAGAAGTAATACTACCACTCTATATGACTCTGGTGTGCCTGCAACTGGAGTATTGTGTTCAGTTCTGGGCTCCACATTACAGGAAGGATATAGCCAGGTTAGAGTCAGTGCATTGTAGGGCCACAAGGATGGTGGCTGGATTGCAGGGAAAGCCATATGAGGTGAGACTGGGGGACTGGGTCTTTTCAGCCTGGAGGAGAGGAGACTCCAAGGGGATCTGTTGGTGGCATATAGGTATGTGAGGTGGTGTCACATAGAGGTGGGTAGAGACCTGCTTTCCCCTGCAGAGGAAGGCAGGACATGCTCCAATGGAGCCCAGCTCAGGGAACCCAGGTTCCATTTAGATGCCAGGAAGCACTTCCTGACAGTCAGGACCCCGAGGATATGGAATGGGCTTCCACGGGAGGTGGTTGAGGCCCCATTGGTGAGGGTGTTCAAGGATAAGCTAGACATACACATGGTGATCATGTCATGAGCAGAGCCAGCTGGACCCGGGGGTCAGACTAGATGGCCCAGGAGGCCACTTCTGATTCTCTCAGTTTCTATGTTTCTTCTGTACCTCCCTTTCCTCAGCTGTTTCTTCTGCATTGATTTTCACGTTGTGAGTTCCTTAGGGCAGGAAGCCGTTGTTGTGTTCTGTACAGCAGGGATGGGGGACTTAGTACCCTCCACATGTTCTTGGAGTCCAATTTGTGTAAGCCCCAGCCAGCAGGGACAATGGTAGGGATTTAGGGGAGCTGTAATCCAATAACATCAGAAGATCCACCAGTTTTCCTCCCTGGCTGTAAATCACCATGCACACTGATCTAGAAATACATATACATGTTGCATCTGAAGCATTTTATGCTCTTCACATTTGGGATGCTAATGCTAACTATAATTATTCTTTGTCACTGTGGGGTGCCAGTTCATTTTGAACATTTCACTTGGGTAAGGAAACACTTCACAGAGGGCTGCATCAGCATGACTTCAGATATTTGCACAGGATTTGCTGTTCCAGTGTGGGATAGCCATATATAGCTAGCTCCAGAAATAGCTGTCGAAATTCCCCTCACAATGCCTTGCAAAGTCTTGTAAAGCCCCTGAGAAGCTCAATGTATCATTTCTTTCAAAATGATATAAAAGACATGCCTCAGATAGGTTTAAAAATATGTGAGTGGAATAGTCCCACTCTATGCACATTGACAACCCCCAAAAGAATGGAATAAGATACTCTGTTATTCCTGATGTTGCATCTGCAGATTCTGTCTTGGCTAATTAGGATAGTAATTTGTATAGATGCCTTTCCTCCGTCAGCCTGTTGTAGAGAACACCATTAAAGAAAGTGACAGAGTTATTTGCTGTTCCTTGACTCGCTTTGTTCATCAGGGCTATGAATTGCTTTGTAATTCTAGTAAAAAAATATATTGGTTCAAACAAGGTAAATGTGCAGAGCTAAGAATAGCATTTGCCTGTGGAAAATGGAGAACGTGATGAAGAAATAGCGGTTGGAGTCTTATTTACAAGTCACTGCAGGTACATTTGCATCTATGGAAAACATTCCAAATGATCACAAAAGATATGATTCCTGTGGAGATTCATTTGAAAAGATGATTTTCAAGCAATTTCGCAAGATGCCGCCATTCTCTCTCTGGCATTAGTTTTTCAAGTATTCATAAATCACTGCTCTGAGGGTGGAACAAGGTGTTCCAAGAAACAGGGCTCTCTCCAAAAGGACAGGCCAATGTTGCTCTCACAGCTTTAGATCCATAATATCTGGGTTAGTTTGCTCCATGTCCTGATGATATGCAGTTTCCTACATCAGCCAAAAACAACCAGTGGTGTTTAGCCAAGCAAACACACATCACTTTGATGTCGGGAGACAAGCTCCCCAATTCTGTCTTTTGTAGTTTCTCTTGTTCTGCCTGCTCTGTATCCCACAGCTTCTGAATTCTTGTTTAAGACTTCTAAAAGTAGTTCCAGGATCAGAGTGTGGGCACTTGCCACAGGTTTCAGTTCCTTAAATTGTCTGCCTCTCTCCCTTCCCATACGGAAACATACATGCACACATTGCCAAAACACTGAGGAGGAGGAAAATTTTTTGATGTAATCATATGAAGCAAGATTCTTTTGTGGTGTCTCTTATCTGTGTATTACAAATAGACATGCATATCAGTGGATTTCCTTCCAGGTCTTAACATCAATGCACACATGTGAATTGGTGGCATAAAAGGAAAGGAATAACACAAACAAAGAAATTGAAACTTTCAGGAAACTGCAAATACTGCAAAAATTGGAAATTCAGTATAAAATGAATACCATTTTCCATATTGCAATGGTTTCACTTTAGAAACAGGACCAGTTAACTAAGGATTACATAAACAATTAAATTAAATAAATAAATTTATAAAAATATTTTATAAATAAAACAAAACAAAACATAATCTGAGGCACATTTCACAAGTATCCCTTTGCATAATATGCCAATCCAAGTTCTAATTGAAGGAATCATCAACTATATTTCCTTAAATGCTTCTTGGTAAGGCTTGATTCTGTTCTTTTATTGGTTTTAATTTCAGAATCATTCCTGTTTTCCTTATTCATCGGCCCAAGAATAATATCCCATATGCAACGGTAGAAGAAGAGCTCATTGGAGAGTTTGTGAAATACTCGGTCAAGGATGGGAAAGAAATAAACTTCATGAGAAGAGACTCAGAAGCTGGACAGAAATGTTGCACCTTTCAGCACTGGGTATATGAAAAAACCAGTGGCAGCTTGCTTGTAACTGATATGCAAGGTGAGTGTCTGGTTGTCCCATGGCTTCACTGTATGTAATGCTGGATTAATTAATGCAGAGCAGGACTGACTTTGTGGGATCTGCCCTGTCTTTCCACTGGAACCCCAAGGCCCACCCATTAGAACCAGGTGTAAAATACTGCCTCAGTAAGGCAGTTCCCCATAATCTTTGATTTGAGCACTCATTCCATACACAACATCTGAGCAGGCTGGCAGGTGTATCTTTCTTCAGCACAGGGGATGATAGAGCATCCACCACTGCCGCCCTTGAGGGCAGAACTGTCCAGCACTTGCTCCTCAGCATTGGTCACCTGAGGCAGCGGCTTCTTTCTCCCTAATGGAAGGGTTGGTTCTATACAGTGTATAGAACTGACGAAAGCCGAAAGTCCTTACGACTAGCCACTCGAAGCCCCACCCCTTATCTGGAGGACTATGAAGTTTGAAATCTCTTCTCACTGATGCCAGAGTGAGAAGAGATTTGACACAGAATAATCAATTCAAGTTGCAACAACCCAAATTCAGGATAGACATCAGGAAAAGCTTCCTCACTGTCAGAGCTATACGAGAGTGGAACCAGCTAGAGAGGTGGTGGGCTCTCCCGCACTGGAGACATTCAAAAAGAAACTGGACAGCCACCTGAGTGGGATGGTGTAACGTGGTGTCCTGCAACTGCAGGGGGTTGGACTCGATGGCCTTCATGGCCCCTTCCAACTCTACTATTCTATCAGAACTCTACTATTCACTATCAGAAAGCTTGCAAAAATACAGATTTTAGTTTGCAACTAAACCTTTCAGGCCATTAGAAGGTTCTAGAGGTGAAAATTGTATGAGCCGATTTTTAAAAACTTGATGAAATCCATTCCTCGCACACCCCTATCAGGCACCTCTTTGACCCAAGTACTGTATTACACTCCTCTAAAGCATCAGACCAAAAACAAAGGTGGTTCTAATCATACTGCGTAAGAACAGTGCACAATGTATAATCTTCAGGCGAGGAATTAAATGTTTCTGATAGCATATAGAAAGTGCAATGGATATCATTTGTAATCAGCAGTGGAGCCAATGAACATTTTAGAGAGAGAAAGAGAGTGAATACCGTATTTCCCCCCAAAAAAGACCTAATTGGAAAATATGCCCTAGCATGGTTTTTCAGGATTCTTGTAATATAAGCCCTACCCCAAAAATAAGCCCCAGTTAAGACTGTCAGCCAAATGGACACATTTAATAAGTCTGTTGCAACACATGATGGATGTATCAAATTATAAAATAATAATATATAAATAAATAATATTGACAGTAATACTTAAAACAAATGATAATATAAATTATAATTAAGTATTTGTAAATACCCAAGAGGGTGCCTTTGGACAAGAGGTAAGTGACTATGTAAACAGATGAACTCAAGACTCATTGCCAAATGACCAATCGGAGTACAGACACAGTGCACGAATAATGTGCGCACTTATGAAGCAGACGTGTTTCATAATTCCATACGTCATGTGTTGTAACAGACGAACTTAATGCACTCGTGTGTTGCCACTCCTGTCTCATAAGTCTTCAATTAACACTTGATTTAATGGTAGATTTAAGGGGAATAATATTTTGACCCCTAGACAAGATGAGTGCAAAAATAAAGAACTATTCAGTCTAATACAAGAAAGGAATTGTGGAGGACTCTCAGGGCAATATTCTTTTGGCTTTCGTAAGAAAAAATAATCCTAATGCATCTTTCGGAGCAAAAATTAATATAAGACCTGGTCTTATTTTCAGGGAAACACGGTGAGAGAGAGAGAAAGAGAGCACAGGAGAGGGAGAGAGCATTTGTCTAAACCTGAAAATCCTGGTGTAATACTGGCTTGCTGTTTTGTTTTGTAGGTGTAGGAATGAAACTAACTGACGTTGGCATAGCAACACAGGCCAAAGGGTGAGTGAAGAAACGCATTTCTCAATGACCTGCTTTTTGAGTAGTGCATCAGTCTTGTGATAGTTCAGACTTAATAGGGAAGGTTGCAGCATGTGAAATCTATTTTCTGCAATGACTCTTGAAAGTGAAGCAAAGCTCAGTGGGATTTTCCTTTTAACTTTTGGTTGATAAAATGTTAACAGAAGCTGAAGGCTCGTTTGTTTGCTTCTTTGGAAGGAGAGTGATAATCATAATGCAGGCACTGTGTGTATTTGCCATAAAGAATCACTTCTCGTCCGCAGCAGTGAGGCAGGCCCTAGAGGTAATGGCATTACAAGGCTATCCTTTACATATGTCAGTTGCAAAGCACAGAACTAATACTTCCCTCACGCCCACACCTGCCTGTCTACGTTCCTTCCACAACTGCTTTTGTATTCCCTGATATGACAGGCAAAACAAAACTAGTTTGCCAATTCTGATTTAAAAAGTGGAACCAGGCACTTACATTTTAAACTTACGTAATGTTTGCATTTTAAACTTATTTAAATCAAGGCATCATCATGACTTGAGGAGTAAAATTGGACTTTGCTTCTGCCGCCTTGAAGCTGAACACTTTTGCCTGGGAAAAAGCACCATTTTTGCCATATAAACTGAAAACTGAATAGAGGAGTCAAACACAAGATGGGAGAAGCTCACAAAGAGGATATTCCCAATCGCCTAATCATCTCTAATTCAGTTAATTTACAAGATACACTACTTAACCCACAGACTCTTTAAATGGGTCCCCCTCCAGTTTTTTCCATCATACTGCTGGTATGATGACAACATCAGTCTTGCTCCTGCAGTTAACATCAGTTAAAAGTGAATGGAGACCACTGCAGTTGTGTTCTATGTTTTTAAGCATTTTTCTGGGCCGTGTCCAAGGATGACTTCCCATGAGTGGCTAGCCCATCGGTTCTATACTGCAACTTGTGCGATGAAAATATGGTGCTTCTGAGGTAAATCCAAAATGAGTGGCTGCACTAATTTCTGGAATGGGGCAGGTAGGCTGAGTTTACAGAAGGCAGCTCTATGGACCTTCTCCATTCCAGAAATGAGCATTTCCATTTCTTTTGGAGCTTGTCCCATAAAGTATTAAATCATTCTTGCACAAATGATGGGCGCTATTTGTGCAAGGGAATCAGCAGGGCTGGCTGCTTGTGGAATAGGTAGTCCTCACTCATGGAAGGGGAACGTTAGATTCTGCCCAATGCGTTTAAACAAGCCCACTGGTGTAGAAAGATCCAGAGCTGCAATTTCAAGGAAAACGCATTTAATACTTTCCCTGATTTTGGGATTGCTTTCATGTAGCACTAAAAGATTTCATTAAGGTTTGTGTATCTTCTGCCCTTCTTCCCCAGGCTGTAAAAAGAAAACTAGGTGCAAAACACAAACATCCTTCCAGGACAGGAAAAGAGAGAGGAGTATTCTTTAAAGGACCATTAATGGCTATGAATATTTTATTTCAGACAAGCAGGAGGAGAATCCAAAAATGTGATGGAAATGATAAAGAAATGTTAACTTGGCTGGATGGAAACTGAAATAATTATACACTGGAGTCCATTCAGAATGGTCTCTTTTGTTTTTAAATTTGAATTGTTGGAGTATTATGCTTGTTAGTGAAAATCCTGAAGCCAGTATGGAAGTAAATACAGAGGTAAATAGACAGGTTAACTAACAACTAGCTAGAAAACAGACTAGCCTTAACCAGCAACTAATATAAACATTCTAGAAGGATGGGATTTATTTATGTTTTGCTTTTGCGCTCTCTCTCTGTGTGTGTGTGTGTGTGTGTGTGTGTGTGCGTGTGCGTGTGTGTAATAGATAGCATGGTTCTTTCCACATTGTCCTGCTTCTCTCTGGGTGAGAGGTAAAGGTAACACGGGAAGGAACCAACTCATTCATCCAAACCATGTAGTGAATGTTATCAGAGTTATAAAAGGCATTTATTGTGCACTTGTGTTCTCTCATTCATGGAAGTTTGTGCATTGTTTACACCAGTGGTTTAAAAAAAAAAAAAAAGGTGCAGGAACTCTCCTCTTGGGGTCAGTCACTCTACACACACATAAACATAATGGTCGCCGCTGGCAGTAAGCACTGGGCATGCGACCACACGACCGATCCCAAGCTGAGCAGCGTCCCAAGCTGAACAGCACCCTTCCGAGCAGCGTCGACACACACACAGCCCGCAGGCACTATTTTAATGCTTTTTGCTGCCGACCTGCTACGCCTAACAGGGCAATTCACAATCACATGGAAAAATCATCAAAAAAGGGTGCCGGAACGCCGTTCCAGTGCATTCTATGACAAAAAAAAAACCCTGGTTTACACAATGTCATAATCTTTCCAGGAATTTGCCCATGTTTTCCAGTCATTTTCACAGGGGTTTTTTGTTTAGAGAGAGGTTAATGCAATGTTATCTTCCATGACACCATTATTTGCTACAAGGCTACAAAAGCCTTGTGTAAACTCTAAATTCCACTCTATACCACAGTGCCATCCTAAGCTGTGTAGTGGAACTCATAGCAATATAGAGGAAGGCAGAGAGGAGAAGCCTGGTGGCGGAGACCTGATGTACAGGGCCATTTTTCCTACCACAAGGCAAGTAGAAGAGGCAGCTGTTAGTGGGTGGTTCTTTTGACTGGATGGGAGGAATTCAACCTGTTCTAGATGGGGTTGCCCTCCCCCTGAAGGGCCAGGTTTGTAAGCTGGGGTGCCCCTCAAGCCAAATTTGTCTCTTGAAACTCAGGTGGCTTCAGTGGCCTTCTACCAGCTTTGGCTGGTGGCCCAGCTGTGCCCCAATCTGGACAGAGATAGCTTGCTGTCAGGAATCTATGGTCTAAACTAGATTACTGCAAAGTGCACTACATGAGGGCTGTCCTTGAACTGTTCAGAAGCTCCAGCTTGTACAAAACATGGCATTCAGATGGTCTGATCATACAACACCAATTCTGGCCCATTTGCACTGGCTGCCTATATGCTTCAAAGCAAAATCCAAGGTGCTGGTTTTAACCTATAAAACCCTACACAACCTGCAACCACAATACCTGATGGAATGCCCCTCCCACCACCATCTACCTGTACTCACAGTCAACCCTCAGGGCATTCCTCTGACTGCCACCTCCAAGGGAGGCTTAGTTGGTGGCAATGAGCAAAAGGGCCTTTTCAGTGATGGTCCCACAGTTGTGTAATGAGCTTCCTAAGGAGGCCCTCCTGGCACCAAACTTGGTATCTTTTTGGCACCAGATCAAGACTTTTCCTCTACCTCCATTTGTATTTAATTAGTTGCGGCTTTGTTAGTGTTCAGTCCAGGCTCAACCAGCTTCTATCTTGCCGAAGTTATTGAAATCTTAGATATGTTTGAAATGTGGTTTTAATATTTTTTGTATGGTAGTTTTTCCAAAGGTGCATTTTAGACTGTATTTTAATGGACTGTTATAAATTGCCCAGATAGCTTCAGCTGTTGGCTGGTATATAAGTTAAATAAAGTAAATAAATCTACTTATTGGCCCTGAAAGAAAAAGAAACTAGTGTGAAACCAAGAAACCTCAAGGACAGGGGGAGGGTGCTAAGGTATCTAGAAAAATAAAACCCTCTTTGTTGAAAGCCAATAAGCAACACATAGGGTTGAGATGAATGAGTTGGGATGTAAACAGTTGCCGCATTTCCTGGTGGACAACAAAATAAGCTTCTGGGGGTGTCTTATACTGAGTCAGAACCTGGTCTAGTCTAGCCTGCATGCAGTTTGCATCCAATGCCTCAGACAGAGGTCCTTCCCAGTCCTACCGAGAGCCATCCAATGGACATGACAGGGGTTTGATCTGGGATCTGCCTCCACCAAAGGGAAGAGACCTTCTGTGTAATGAAGGGCTCCCCTTGCAGAGAACATCCCTGTTTGCTTTGGGAGGGTTCCGCCCCTCGCAACACAGATCACCCTATTCAGCAGGGCCTCCTTTCTCTCTGTCTAGTAATTTTAGGGGCTACCATGGAAGGAGGGTACAAGGAAGTCCCCTTCCACCAGCTCAGTGCTGCCAGCTTAAATCTGGCTCCAACCTCAGGAACTGACCTTCTGCACCTCTACTCGTGATCTGTGCCCCTTCCTAAATATTTAAAAGTGTCCCTGATCGATGTGCTGCTTCACCAGGTGCAGGAGACCTCCATATGAAGCAAATGGCTTACAAATTAGCCTTTCACTGTAGTTAAATACTTACCATTCTCTTGTACTACTGACTCTTTCGATGGAGAAGTGGGCTTGTGTGGAGAACGCTCAGGGGACATTCTGCTCTGCCATAGTCCAAAAAAAAAGTAAGCACAGCACTAGGTACCATCAGTGGCACATCTCTTGGAAGAGCGATTCCATCAGGCTGCCAAGGTGGTCACCAGCGGTTTTTCCCAGGCTTGAGATGAGCCGAATTTTTCTCATGCTGGGTTTCCCTATTCCACCACCACACCAAGAAGGCACACACATTGGACTGTTAGTAAATAAGCGAGCAGATATTAATGTGGAAATATGCGTCATTAATTGCATTTTCCAATAGTCCAATCCACTACCGAAATGCTAGCACCTGCCTTGTATCCCTTGTATATCTGAGCAGGAACATAATATATTCTAATCTCTTGCTGTTCAGTTATTATTCACAGACTAGCAAAAAGCCATGAAGGCAAAAGTGTCATGAATAATTAATATCCATTTATTTTTTTTCTTTTAATGTTATATGTTTTTAATGAGCATACAATATGTTTGGCAGAGGATCATACTGATTAGCATTCTGCATATTTGCAGCAGTGGCCAAAGGCCATTTATCTTTTTCTAAGGTAAAGAAGAGAATTCCAAGAAGATAGCATCTGATTCAGAAGGAATGCTCTCGGTTCATGGTTTTATTTCTAAGTATTTTTTTTTCTTACAATAGTGCCTTAGAAAGAAAAAGAAAGCGTTGCAGAAGAATGTTCTGAATCACAATCACAGAGATGTAAACTGTCCCAAGC